CACAGCAGAGGGAAGGCTTGGCTTCCTGCCTGACTCACACACTCTCAGCTCATGTAAAAATGCCTCGATTCATCAGTGAGTCCGTATTTAAGATGCTCCAGTCACTGTCTCATGTTATACACACCATCTGGGAAGCTATTCCACTTTAACTAGGCAATCAGTGGTGACAGACCCCAACTCTAAAAGAGCACCATGATTTAATCCACCTTTTGTACAATCCTGTGCACCAACATGGGCTCACTGCTTTTCAGTTGAAGGGATTAAGGCATTTAAAATAGTTAAACCCTGACGTTATCTGGCAACATGACCTAAAGAGGTCTGGTGAGTTTATTCTTTCCTATGAAAGGGGTGAGATGCTTGGTGTGGAACGGCTGTACATACATACGAAGTTAAAAACCGGCTCTGCTTCCTAGAGTGGGCCTAGCTCTCAGAATGCTTCGTCCCCTCAAACTGAGAGAACATCTGGAAAACACATGGAGGAAGATCAGTAAATTATTTTTTCTTTTCATAATCAGGAAAAGGAGAATAAGCAAGAATTGCTCTCCCAGAATTTTTCTCAGGCTCCTGAACAATCTTCCCAATCTAAGAATAATATTTTTCTTTTATTTTAATTTCAACCAAAGAATCACACGGTTAAAAAAATAACCCCCTGCTGCACACCTCCCCATACCGAGCCCTGCTCTCCAACGGCAACCACTGTTACCCGTGTCCATTTGTTTCTTTTGATGATTATTTCCATGTCTCCAGAAAACACACCGACACTACTACTCCTTGATTTATCAGATGTAGACATTATCTTACTGAATTCCTTCCTTGACAGACAAGGATTTATCTCCCACAAAGACCCCTTCCTTTCCTTCTTCCTAATGTTGACAGGCAAACCAGTGCTTTTAGCTCCTCTACAGTAGCGGTTCTCAAACTTTAGCTACATCAGAATCACTTGGTCAGCTTGTTAAAGCACAGATTGCTGGGACCCACCCCACAAGTTTCTGATTCAGTGGGTCTGGGGTGGGCTCAAGAATGTTTATTTCTCACAAGATCCCAAGAGAGGCTAAGGCTGCTGGTTCAGGGACCACACCTTAACAAGCATTCGCTCTATTGGTGACCTTACAACAGGTTACTTGACCACCACATTTTAAGTTGTTTCATATTTGAACCATGACATACTGACCATATTTCTATTTTTTTCTGGGAGTTTTGATTGCCTTTATCTTTTCTTATTAATAGAAGAAATATATTTAACCTGAATTGGCCACTTTCTTGTCATTCTAACACTTGGCTTCATTCTTGTGGAAGTTCATTGATCTCTGGTTCTAAATGGGTTTGACAGTTTTTCTAGACTTGCTGCACAGTTATCATCCCGGGATTTCTCATCATTAGACTTCTGGAAGTTGGTTCCAGAGTTTCTTGTATCCCACATCTTACTCTTTCTAGTTGTCACCTTTGCTTTGTTGAGGTGCATCTCAGGTAGTTTCCCTGGAAGGGCTATTAGAAAGGTAAACTTTTGGGGTCCTTACTTGTCTGGAAAGTATTTGACTGTTAGGCTAAAAATAAAATTCCAGTTTCAAAATCACTGTCCTTGGAACGATGAAGCTCTATTTCACCATATTCTAGCTTCTAATCTTGCTGACTAAGAGTCTACTGGACTACCCAGTCTGACTCTCATTCTGCTGTGAGCTGACACATATCTCCCACTATCGCTGTCCTGCACATCATATCCTGGAAACATTTAGAAGTTTCCTTTCATCATTGGAGCAGTAACACTTCAAAATGAACTATATAGAATAATTTTGGTTTATCTTGCTTGTAAGTTGATTGGCCCTTTAAATTTTAAAAAATAGCATCTTTAACTCAGGAAATTTTATTATCTCCTTTACAATTTCTTCTCTTTCATTTTCTCTTTTCACTTTTCCTGGTATCCTTACAGTATACTTGGATACAAAACATTGTGGGCTTATCCTTTAGCTTTCTTTTCTTATTTGTCTTTTAGCCCTTCTTATTGGGAGATTTCTTACCACTATCTCCTAATCATTCCACTAAATATATGACTCTGCAACCATATTTTTAATTTTCAAAAATGCTTTCCTTTTCTCCAATTCTTCCCTTTAAAAAGAAACAGGATCACATCCATTTTCCAGTGGATGGGATATATTCTTAAATTTCCTTGTGTTTACTGCATAGACTTCAAGGTGTTTTTAAAATTTTTATAATCTCTTCCATCCTCTGAGTAATATTTTTCCTTCTAAGTCAGTTGTTCTGTTGGTTTATTTTAGTCTTTCTTTTCATGCAACACATTTTCCCCAATCTCAGGTTTCCCTGGTTGTCCGTTCATATTTAAGAATAAAGCAAAAGGGATGATTAGAAAATCCGTGGATGTGTTTGGGTGGATGGTGGGAGGGAAAGCTCGCTCTGACACTGGAGAATTCAAATGCCAGAAGAAGCAAGGCTTTCCCCTGGGGAGCCGGCCCACCCACACTATCTCAAGCAGTTTATTCAACTTGTGAGAAGAAGATGCCTGAAGCATGTATAGTGGTGGGGACGAGGGTGGAATGTCAACTCCTAACTCTTCCATACCAACCATAACACGACCGCCGCCCATGTTCAGCCCCACTTCTCACTCTGTGCCCTCTGTAACTGCTGGCCTGGCTGTGGCTGCAGCTTCTCTGGCTCTGTGGGTAGACGGCACCCAGCCCCCTATGGTACTGTTTGAGTTCACCACCAACACTCTTACATCTTTTCACTCACTCCAGAAAAATTACTGGACTCTCTCATTAGCTGACATCCCTTCCCCCACAGTGTTCTCCTCCCTGTTCCAATCTACTCATTGAGAATCATTGCGGTGGGGTCTCAGGAAGTGCAGACATAAACGTTTGTGCTTGGTCAGCCATCTTGGCCCAGACGTGACCAAGAACAGCATTTTGATACAATCTGTCCCTGCATCTCTGGCTTTGATTGGGCGGTTTGAATCTTTAAAATGTCGGTAAAGGTTCTAAGATGCTCTTCACTGAAAAAGGTCCACTTCTGTGCCACTGATGGATTTGTAGGAATGAGAGTTGGCTTTGTTGTGGAAAGTGTGCTCAGGGCTAGCAAGATGCTGGACAGAGCAGGCAACTACCTCACTGAGTCAGTTCAGTGATATATCAAGCACAGAGGATCCGTAAATGATTCCCAGTACCCCAAGTTTGGACCACTTCTAAACACAACTATGGGTAAGCTTATCAAGCCAGCAAGGTTTCACCTTAGAAGGCAGAGAAACACTAGGACTGGGGACCTACGTTCTGGGACTTATCACAATGCTATGCTTTACTGAGTCCCCAGCCTGACCTCTTCCTCCCATGTCACTGTCTGGGAGGACATCATTTCTACCTTTCAGGGAAGGCGGAAGTCATCTGCTTCCTGCCCTGCCTCTTTATCTTTTATTCTCTTCTCTTCCCCTGCCTTCTTCATACCCTGCCTTAAGGCCAGCCCCTCCACTCTGCCCCACCCACTCAGACACCCTGTGTCCTCCCGTCTCTTCCTTCTCTCTCCTAGAGCCTGTTCCAAGTATGGATGATCAGCAGGACTTACAGGCCACCCTCCTGGGGCATGTGTGTTTTGAAAGTTCATGTTTTAAATCAAAACCTCTTGGTAGTATTGCCCAGAGGCTGTGTGTGTATGAGTAGTGGGCCCATCCCCAGCCGATGTGCATCCAGGCAGCTGAAGGCTCACTTCTGTGTTCTGCAGAGAACTGTCCTCAGCTGAAGGGATCCTCCTTCATAGAGGGTTACACTCCCTTCCACACCCCCCAGCCAGCCAATGGCTGACTCATGTGGAGTACAAAAGGCCAGCTTCTTGCCTCAAGGAGAGGACAACTTTGGTGTAATTCATGCTCCCTAGTCCGCCAGCTAGACTTCAGCTGAGACCACATCTCTGTCCAGCCCCTGGCCCTTCTTTCACAGGCCTCCCCCAAGAGCACAGCCTCGTCAGACCTTGTGCTTCCAAATCCCTGTCTCAGACTCTGAAGACATGAGGGCAAGGCATCTTAGGGACATGTTGGTAAAAATCTCACCACTTATTTGAATACCTGGATAGACATCTCAAACCCCAAACACTTCTCTGGGGTTCAGTCTATAATTCTGATCTGTAAGGCATGAGTCACTCATCTGCTAGTTTTCCCCTATGGTCAGAGCAGTCTGAAGAACTGTGGAAGGGGTGCAGGCAGCTGGTTCCACAGCTTTGCCCCCACCCTGCCCGGGGGTCCTGTTTAGTCCAAAATAGTTTTCCCTCACCTTCCCCAGGGTCCTAGATCTGTGGTGATCTTTGGTTTCAAGGAAAGATTTAGAAGAGACTTGGGATTGTGAATTCCTTGCGTATTTCCTGCACAGTGCTCAGCGCTACGTATCTACAGATGGCTCAGGGCAGACAGACCAGCCCTGCTTCACAGAATCAGTTCACAGGCTCACTCTTACCTCGTATGGCCTGCACCCAACATTGCTCTAAAGCTCCTGCACACTGCAGCACATCCCAGAATCTGATAAGCGAGGGACAGGATGGGCTGCCCCCTGCACTTTCCACAGGGCTCCAGGGACACTTGGGTTGTGCATTTTTAACTCAACCACCAATTCTGCAAGCTCCAGTTCTTGTGTCTTCACCTCACTTGCTCCCCCACTAACAAAACATTCATTGAGCACCTACTAGGCACTAATCTAAGCTCTGGAAATACTCTAGGAACAGGGGCCAAGTTCAGGGGCCAAGTAGGCAGTTCATGATCTCAAAGGGATTGTAATTTTCTAAGCACTCGATAATAGTCTCAACATGTTTGAATCCCGTAGTAGTCAGAAGCAACCCCAAAGATAATCTATTTCATCATTTTGCAGAGCAGGAAAAAGAGGCCCAGAGAGGGGAGGTGGCTAGGCTAGGGTCTCCCAGGCAGTCACGGCCCACCGCTCTCTCCTGGGCCATTATTTCTGCTCTGTGCACCTGCCACCTTGGGTCCCATGCATGAGCATTAAAATTCTGACCTGATTTTTTTGGGCAATCTTTTGTCCCTTCTTCCAGCGGAGAACTGGTGTCAGCGCCGGAAGTTCCCTCTCCTCCTCTCCAGTCACATGCTCACCGAGGCTGTAGGCCGCTTCAAACACAATGGGGCTGATGACGTCCTGTACCCGCCGCTGAAACAATAAACAAATATGCACATTAACTACTAATGTTCACAGTTCACAAAGGCCTTCCACATAATTTGCCTCATGTGATCCTCACAGCCACCCTCATGAGGTAGGATTTTTATGACTTTCATATTCCAGATAAGGTCACTGAGGCCTAGGGCAATGAGTGTCTTGTCCAAGATCACTCTGTTAATAGGTGGGGGCTTTTCTTCTCTACCTTGCCTGGTGCTAAATCTTCTTCTCTTGAGCAGATGGAAGATATTACTTTACTCATCTTCTAAATATTCTTAGAAGCCAGTTGTCGGGCGAGAGAGCATCTGCACTCTCACTGCTAACCCTTGGCATTTGTGGCCTTTTGATGATCAAAGCTCTTTTGCATTGAGATAAATATGGATTGTGTCTTAGGACAGAAGCCACAAAGACACTGAGGGGCCCAGCATCGTCACACAGTTATCATCAGTGGAGCCAGAGATGAAAACTTTAATCCTGGCCTTGGGTTCCTTCCTTTAAGGAACTCAAGAACTTCAAGACCCAAGGGAAGACCGGTAGTTACGACAGGAAAGGAGAGGAAAGGAAGGCAAGAGAGTAAGCATGCCCTGAACGCCCATGAGATGAATGACACGCCCCAACCCTGTGAGCTGGACTTATTATCCCTAGTGCACAGAAAGGGACAAAGAAGGTGCCAGTCTAAGTTCCCCAGGGCATGTGGCTGGTAAGGACTTTGAGTCACATCTGCTTAATGTCAGAGTTCTCTCCCTTTTTGTACAGTGTCACCTCTTCCTAGGGACTCTGGGTCCCACAGTCTTGCAAGTTAGAGTTAGAGGCAGGAGTAAAGCTGATAGGTGGTCCCGCATTCTGGGCCATTCCAAGAGTTTCCAAGTGGCAAGTGGAGCAGGGCAAGTGTGAGAAGTGGCAAGGAAAGGAGCCCTAACAGGCCCCACCACTCTGCATCTGTCATGGGGAGAGACAGCCAGGCAGTGGGAGTGCGAGGCCCAAGGACTTCACACTATTCTCTGTGTGAAGTCTGGGGAGTTTGGATCAGAGCAGTGCTGTGTTCAAAACAGCAGAAAGCTCTAAAGGCCCTGGGGGCACAGAGAGAGGTTTGCAACCGTCCATCCCCACCACCACCCAGGCTCCCTCCCCAGAGGCAGATGTGCCTGCCAGTTTTGGGGTATCGGGTATTCATCCAGTCTAAGCATACGTAGGCAAGTGGAAGCTCGTCTCACACTCACTGTATTTTGCTCTCTTTACACAGCGTATATCCTGGAGATGGTCTATGTCAGTCTCACCTCCTTTTTAATGACACACAGCATGTCACTGTATGGATGTCCTTACTGCCCAGGGTTTGGGCTCAAAGCTACTTTTACATGTAATTGGGCAGCAGCCTATCAACAAACTATAGCAGCGTTTTCCAAGTTAGGTCCTATGAAATTTGGTTCCCTTGGAGGGGGATAAATAAGAGTCTGTGATTAAATAAGTCTGGGGAACACCAAGTTAGACAAAGCTAAACAGGATTTTATTCTGTTTTGTTTGTTGTTTCTGTTTTAACTGTCATTTTCTCCAACAAGGTGAGGGTGGTGGCCCAAGTTTATTGGGCCATGGAAGCTTGTGTTTCCTCAGAGTTCCTTGGGGCACTTGTGTTGATAAAACAATCAAAGACACTGGAGGGCAGATTAGAAATCTCCCTCAGCAGCCCAGGAGAGGAGAAGGTGGGGCCAAGCCAGGCAGATGCGGCTGCACCTATGGCTGCTGAGCTGAAGGCACGGGGACCAGGTGAAGGGGCTCTGGTGATACAGGGTAGGAGGCTGAGCAACTAGCAGGTGATTTATATTTATGCTTAGGAAAGCATTCAGCTGGGAATAGATTCAATCATTCAGCACAAATAAAATATAGCGCCTCTCCAGGGGAATGATTGGGGAGGCTTTGGATCAACCATTTCCAGAAAATCCTCTTGAACTCCAGATTTTAGAAACAGACCCTTGATACCCTTGTCCTTTCTGGGAACAAAGCACACCCTGGGTTCCAGATCCCCCCTGCCCACTGACTGCTAACAAGAACTTACAGATTGTCAGTGGTGTGGAGAGGAATGAATGAAAGCAATCTCAGTGTTTCTTTAAGGTTGACTAACTTAAAGTTTTTCATTTAAATCCTTCATGACCAAATAAGTCAGTTATTATGTTGTTATTCTTGCAGGAGGAGGTGAGGATGGTGTAGGGAGGCAGAAGAACTTAACACTTGCTGGTTGCCAAATGTGTTCCAGAGACCAGGCCAAGCTCTTCACAGACTGGCTTACTCCTCACAACACCTGAACCGGCAGTCTTGCCCCATTTTGTAGAGGAGGTGACAGAGGCACAGGAGGCTCAAACATATTCCCTCCACCCCAAAGCTAGTAAGTGGTGGAACAAAACTCATTCTTAGGACCAGAAACAAAACTACTTTCCTTGTCATCCATAAAATACTTCTTAGAAATCATCCCAACTGTATTAGATTCTGACATCACCCTAAAAAATTACTTGTTTACTTAAGAGCATACAGGGCAAAGGGAGAAATGTTTCATGCACTAGGACAAATGTGAATAAATGACAATTAAGAAACGGGCTTGGAGGGAGGGCTGTTTCTATACGTGTAGCCACTCAAGCCATGATTGCTAAGGAGGGAACCTCAGTCATGGCCTACCTTATTTTGGATGAGCAATGAATTTTGACATCTAGGGGTGTAGATGCTGCTCTCTGGCAATGATGGCAAGAACCAGTTTGAATTCAGAAGTTTGAAAGGCAGCTTCTTATTACAAGTCACAGAAGCTCTGGGCAGAATGCATCCAAACCATACTGAGTCATGGGTGGAGGCAGAGGAGCGTGCAGCTATTAGAAACAGGACAGAACCCCTGAAAGGACAGCCTCTCCTTTCCACACTGTGCTTGTTTTATCTGAGCTGCAAAGGAAAAGGAGCAGCACCATTTAGTGGTTTTCTTTTTGATTTTGGAAGTGCCACTTCCCTGAGCTCAGTTACAATTAAAGAGTGGAACTCCTTAGGTTAAAGAAAGAAGCCTAGCGCTGTGGCACAGACCAGAGTCGCTGAAATACTACTGCTTCAGAAAAAATCACCACTACAAACCAAAGCTTCTAAAGTTGAACAGTCTTATTCTGATAGACTGGAAAGCACAAATCTACCCTTTCCTGCTAAAAATCTACAGGAGTCTCCCATCTTTGAAACTGAAGGAACCCCCATGGAGAAGAACACCCAGGTTGGTGGCAAGAATTCGCAGCAGTTGAGGTTTTATAGGGAACTTAACATATGCTTCGTTTGAAATTTATTGGGTGCTTACTTTATGCCAGGCAATGTGCTGGGCCCCAGGGAGACAAACATGAAAGACCTTTGGAGAACAATTAGTCTCAGGGAAACAGGCAAGCTACGACAGTGCAAGGCATCATGTATAGGGCAGAGGCAGTTCAGGGACACAGAGGAAGAACACTTGGTTCAGGCTTCCCAGAGCAGGTGCCTCCAGGCTGAGCTGAAGACAGAAGGACATTAGCCAGAGAGAGCAGGCAGGAGGCATAGTTGAAATAGCAGTGTGAGAAGGCATGGGGTGTCCAGTGGACTGCATGTGATTCTCAAAGGCGGGAAAAAGTCAGGCAGGTGGGCAGGAGTAGGGGAAGAGGAAGCTCATGCAAAAACCAGATCTCAGAGTGTCTTACATGCAGGGAGAGCTAGGAGAGGGTAACGTGATGCTAGAGGCTGTATTATAGAAAACTTCCTCTTGCTGCTTGGATTGATGGGGCAGGGAGGCCAGCAAGGAAGCTGTAGGAGGCAATGTTCTAAAAATATCCCTCTACATGTAGCATGGAAGTGGATTGATGGGGTAAGACTGGGGAGAAGCAGGCTAGGGAGGAGGCTGCCCCAGGGTTCAGGAGACAGTGAGGGCCTGAGCCAAGACACAGCTTCAGGGATGGAGAAAAGGAGACCCATCCACCTCAAAGGAAGATATGCATTATTTTTGGGAGACACACCTGGGGTAATGACCCGACATAAGCCTGACCTGAGTACTGTGGCACTGTCTGATTAGCTCATGACTTAGAAACCTACCTCATAGCTGCTTTTCTCCACCAAAATAATGAAGGGTTTTCCTCTTAGAGAAGCAGCAGCTACAGTGGTAAATTAAATGAAAACAGGAAGGGTTGGCCTCACTTTAAATTTGCAAATAACACAGAAGGTCAGCAAATAAGCAGTTAGCATTTAAGCCAGATCACTAGTTTGGGGAAAATCCTCTAAGCGTTTTTTTTTTTTTTTTTTTTCCTTTTTTGTCTTTTTTTCGTGACCGGTAATGGGATTGCAACCCTCAGTGTCGAGCCCGCACCGCGCTCAACCAGTGAGCGGACCAGTCTCTATATGGGATCCGAACCCTCAGCGGGAGCGCCGCTGCACTCCCAAGCGCCGCACTCTACTGAGTGCGCCACCGGGCCGGCCCCCCCTCTAAGTGTTTTTTAAAGAGGCCTCCATATTTTTTCTTTTTCCAAGTATGATTTTTTTTTTTTTTGGTCTCCTTTATCCTGTATCCCTTCTCACTACTTCTCTGCATCCAACCCTACTTCTGCCTACCATTACCTTGCAGACACTCCTAGAAATGAGAAATATTCAAAAGTGGGACACCTTTTCCTTTCTCTCTGTGCTCATAATAATTAGAATGGCAGTTAAGGTGTTATAGGGTACTTGAAAATTCTCATAAGCTTGAAGATTGTTTTAAAAGCAAACTGAGGATTTTGTCAGCACCGCACTCTCCTGAGTGAGCCACGGGGCCGGCCCGAAACTGAGGATTTTGAATTTCCAGTAATAATACAGTAACTTACTGAAGATCTAACATCCCACTGACAGCTAGAAAAGCTGGCGCACGCGCGCGCACGCGCACGCACACGCACGCACACACACACACACACACACACACCTGTTTAAAGGTATCAGGGAAATATCAAGACAGCCAGGACTTCCGAGTCCAGGGTCCCAAAGAGAAA